GCAGCTCGGCTACTGGCGAACAAATTGCAAAGATGTAATTTCAGCTCAGCAGCTAAGCAGGCCCGTTTTCAGAACTGAGTTAGGCATGATATCATATTCACTATGCTGCTCGGTTACATCACAGCCCTGACTAAAAGGCAAGCACGTCCCCAGTGCAGGGGGCTTTCTGCTGCATCTCTTCTGTCTTGAAGATCTAAAAGCCCTTATATTATTCAAATGCCTTGGGGCTGGGTGGGGACTAAATATTTCAAATAATTCCATATGACATTTTTCCTAGAAGCAATAAACAATATTCTACTTGGATAGTTACTGCATTTACTACTTTAGTAGATACAATTGACTTTGTCAACTCAGTCAGGCAATAATAATAAAATCATAAGAATAGCTAATTTATTATATACTTAATATATGTCAGTCACTGTTCTAAGGCCTTTGAAGTTATGAATCTATTTAATTTTCACAGCAGAACTTCAAGTTGGGTGCAACCATTATTCCCATTCGTTTGATTCTAAATGCATATATATTTTAATTCCTCACTAAAACCTAATCTTCCCTGCTCCAAAACCTATGTCAACAATTCACGAATGTCCACGTCCAAACAATCTTCATCCCCAGCAAGAAACATACAGATAACAGGCTGTCGGTACAGCCATATGAGTTCGATAAATGCATCCCGACTAATATGTTCGTTTTTAATGCTGTTCAAACATTCACATGGAAACAGCTCTAGCGTAAATATCCCTGAACAAATGGCTGTATATTATCCAGGAGGGAGCAGTTGGGCCGCCAGACTGGGGAAGTACTAGGCCATCTGGCTCAGGCAAGCTCTCCAAACCCATCAGCTTTGTTTTCACCCCCAGACTCCAAACAACACATTTTCCACTGTGATGAGTTTACATTTTCCCAAACACAGGTCCTGATCATGCATAAAAATTCCAAACTTCTTCATTCCTCTATGTGCAAGGAAATTTAAATCACCTGCGTTTTTGACATGTTACCAAAGGAGACAGAGAGCTGTTGAAATATAGCCCCTGACATAAACCTGCTCTGTCCTCTCTTATTTGGCTCCCTGGGCATATGAAAGAGCCTCTTTGCTGGCCTGGTAAATTCCTTAGGAACTTACAGATAGGCCAAAAACAAAAAAAGTGTTTATCTACCAATGAGCTGAAAGAGTGGTTACTCAAGCCTATGTAGCCATGGTAGAATATAATGAAACAATCAATGGGCGTAAAGTTAAAGCCACAACTTTAAGGGCTGCAAACATCAGAATAAATATATCAAGAAATTTAGCTAGGGAACAAAGCTGACAACCTTTACATTTACTGTCCCTGTGCCCTCTTTGCATCAGCACCATACCCCTCAACATATCCCACCTTTAAACCCATACATACAAACATGCTGTGACTTCCGTTCGCCCTTCTCAAAAAATAAATAAATGAAATAAGGGGAAAAAAACCATTTTGCTTTGGGGGCAGGGAGCATGAGATTGAGTTTTCTTTCTTTATTAAATATCACTTGAAAAACTCACTCTTCACAAACTAGTCTAAGAAATGAGCTAGTTTTGTGTTTATTAACTACTTAAAGATAGATATCTCAATGAATGAACCACGGAGTACATTACATCTCAAATGCAAACCTGAAGCAAGCCAGGTTAAGCCTCAGGCCTTCCCAACTAGGTCCACAAGAGCTTCTACAGTTGACACTGTTTCTGGATGCATCAGCCATAAACTTAGGGATCCTAAGGGCTTTTGCATGCTCACTAGTAGACTACCAAAAACAGCAAGGACACAAAAACAATCTATTTTTAGGCCAGCTAAACTTGGTTTTGAACAACCTTTCCCCAAAGCAAGACATTTCTTTTCTAGTTAAGTGGGTTTTGGTTTGGTTGTTGTTTTTTTTTTTTCTTTCACATTTTTATATTTTATGCCATATGTTTTACAAGGATGGGATAAGGAGATGGGACCTCAGAACCTTCTGTGTTCACTCCAAATGAGATTCCATCATACTTGGTAGGGCACAAAATTAGGAATCCTTCCTCAGAATAGTCTAATGAGACACTTTAGGAAGGTGTGAAACATTGTGTCATCCTCAGACATCCTGGTTGATTGAGTACATTCCTGTCTGGTCTCAGTATTGCTGCTAGATGCACTCAAAATGAGGAACAACCTGCACAGCTGTAGCCCAGCTACATGTGACTGGCTGACGAATCCATCTGAATGTTAACCCCAGTTGGAGTCAAGGGTATCACATCACGTGTGCAAAGGCACGTGTCTACTATGAAAAGGGCTAGAGTCACCAAACAACGGAGACAAGATTTCACGATCGCCAGGTATTCCCTCCACAATCTCTGGTGTTCTTAGACATTGACAGTTGTGTTCTGCTCCATACTCTGAATATCAAAATCTGAAATTCATCAGAAAGCACTTCACAGAGGGAAATGTTACCACTTAGTCAGCCAGCCTCTGTCACTCCTTCTAGTTAAACAGGCCAGTGTAGATAGAACCAACACTTTTAGAAAGTTTGAATCAGACTGAGCATTTAATTGTCATAGAATAATTTCAAACTACAAGGAGATCACTGAAGCTGAATATGAACATGATCCTGCAGCTAAGAAAATAAGGCTTCTGGGATCTCTATTTTTTGGAGTGTATGACATTAACTGAGTCCATAAGAAGGTAACCTACTTCCAAAACTTTGGCAGCATGTAACCAAAGGACAAGAAACTGGATAATGAACACAGATTGCCTTTCAAAGTGAAAGTTATAGAAAGGGCAGTTACCCAATCATTATGAAAGCAAATGAGTACATCTTAAAATGTCTTTGTCTTGATACTTTTGTACCAACTTAGGTAATTGTTAAATCTTTTTTTTTTTCAGGTTGCTCCTGACTACACTAACTACATGTATTTATAACTTAAACTTTTAGTAATATATGGCAAAAGACTTTTTCATACCTGTTATTTTTTTTAAATGAGCCATTTCCCCTCTCCCCCTCCCCATAGAATTTATGACACTATCAAACAGCCAAAGATACCTTCAGCTGTAGCAAAAATAAATAAATAAATAAAAATAAAAAAGCAAAGCTCTATTCCCTGTTAGTAAAATATTCGTCATATTGCTTTATATTTTTAAAAATCCTTCCACTGTTCTTGTATGAGAGAGTTTGTTGATAAAAATCAATTCTTACTAGCATTGTTTGTTTAGGGAGGTAGGAATTAGAGTTTGGGGGAGATTTAAATCAAGTAGAAACAATCTCTCCAAACATATTCCAATTTTAAGCTCCTTGGAATAGAGCTTTTCATAGCGAGGCCTGCAGTTTCAATGGTCAGTGTTACATAAACACATCGGCCCTGTATAGTTATTGGTGTAGATGCCTTTTCTCTTTAAAAGTAAGTTCTAATAAATACGTGTGTAAGAGGGGTTAGGGTCCATTCTTTTCCCTCTGTCTCCCTGTTTTCATTCCTCTCTGATGAGAAGGACAAGAAATGATATCCATAATATAAAAAACTGTTTTTGAAAAACAAATTTCCACCTAATATATTTTGTTTTGATATCAGAAAACATTAAAAGACACTAAATCACGTTTTTTTGTGTCTCTACTCAGCAAGGAAAAAAGTCAAAAAATTCAGTGTCCAAAGGAAAGAGAATTATCCTATCTAGCAATCAAATGAATTCAAGAAAATAACTGTAATTAGAACAATAAACGGGAACTTACTCTGAGCTGTCAACTAAAAAATAAACACAATCTTCCAGAGACAAAAATACTTAAGGAAAATCACATGATAGCAATTTTTTAGACACTTGTCACTTTAAAAGATATACTTCACATCCATAATTCCATACATTTTATTTGTGTCACAATAAATATGAACATGATAATCAGCATGAGCTGTTATTAAATGCTTCTTGTTAAGATTTCAAACTCTCAACATCTCATTAATGTGTATTTTGCACATTATTGCCAGGCAGATCTAAAGCTATTTTTAATTATGCATAAATACCCTAATTCCAAACTTTCTAACCCAGTGAAGGAATAACACCCCTCCTTGTTTTAAAAGGAATATTTAAAATAACAGTCAAATAAACACATTTTAACCCTGCACTAAATTGCTGTTTGCTGTACAATAGATAAATTTTCCCTTTGTTTTGAATTCTTTCCCCCTTTCAATAAAGCTGTATTTTTTTTTCCTGTTACTTCAACTAACTAACCAGCTACTTCATTCTGAAACTATACTTTTTCTTAAAATTAAGAAGGGGGATAGATTTTAAAAAAAAATCCTCCTGCACCTCATTAAAATGTCAAGCCTCACTTCCAACTCGGCTCATAATTGTATCTTTTAAAACATAACTCAACCTTAATGTATACTGCCTGACACGGTGTGTTGGCAAGCTTGAGAAAATGCTGTCCATGTACCTTTAAGACAGAAAGTTAGCTAGCTCTTGCTGTCTGGCTCCCAGCCAAACTTGGAGGCCAAAGCAGGAGGGTTTTTTTGCAAAATACCCTTGAACAACTGTAGGCTCCCACTTCCAACACTACCTTCCAATATTATCGCCTTTAAAAAAAAATACAAATCTGTGGAGAGTTCATTTGCAAATTCCTCAGATCCATTCCTAGAATTGCCTCCTACCCTCCAATTCCTCAGGCCTGGGCCTTGGGGAAGGCTTGACTAGTTTGTGTTTCAGGAGTTCAGTCCATACAGCCTCCCCGGAGGGGGTTGTCTCTAAGGCTCCTTTCGCTTCCCCTAGGGCTCCTTGGCCAAGCCAGAGGAAGTTCAGTCCCTTTTCCTTCACTCAGCACCCTAGGTTTTAATCACTAGGCCTGGCTTTCCCAGGGAGCCAGTGAGCCTCAAGCAGGTCCTGGAAGCCTGCGCTGCAAGCACTTTGCCAGGGCCACCTAGGTCCCAGTCATCTCTCAGTGGTCCAATCAGCTTTTGAACTGCAGAAAATTTGGTGACCCGAGAGTCGTCCATCCCCCTCAGTGTGGAATTGTAAGAAACTTACTTGTTTTGTCATGGAGTCGATGAGACGCACGTAGAAATCCTGCTCAGTCCTTATCCCTGGGGGTGAAGGGAGGAAGGAAAATTAAGAGAGAGGGGATAAGCTCTGAAAGAAAAAAGAACTCCACAATACACATAACAATAGCAACAAACAAAAACTGCACACAAAGGGGTCCAAGGCCAAGGGGAACTCCCGCTGTCCTGAAAGGGGCGAGCCAGGACATTCCTTCCCAGAATCCAGAAAGGATCTGCAGGCCTAGTTCAAATGCTCCCCCTTAGAAGCCAGCTCCCTCCAAGCACTGGAGCTAGAAAAGAGGTGGGGAACCCCCCAACCTGGCCACTCTTCCTCCCCAGGCTAGAGCCCCTCTAAAGCTGCCTGGATCCATCAGGAACACTTCCACTCCTAATACCCCTGCCCCTTTCCCTCCCCCCCCCAAAAAAAACAAAAAACCAAGCCAAGCGACGTGAAATTTTGGCCGAGCAACACAGGCCTCAAGAACGGGAGAAAGAAGACAACCGAGTGGTCTTGTCAGGGCCAAGTGGCCTCTGCTCAGCCCTGGGCTGACCAAGCCGCCCTCTGCCTCCTCAGGTGAGAAACTTCCTAGAATGAAATTTCGGAGAGGCCTGTTCACCTGGAGGGTGGCTGATGGCTGAGCTTCGCTGGGGGGCTTTCGTCCACCTGGAGCTCCGTGAGCCCCCTGCCCTGACCCGGAGCCCCAGGGTGCTGGCACCGACCCGACAGGAGCCTCACCATTGCTGTAGAGGAGCTGGAGCCGGTAGTGGATCCCATTATTGGTCTTTTCGCTGTTGGCTTCCTGGTTTGCAGCAAGGCCCAAAGACACAAGAGATGAGGAGAGAGGTCTCTGTGAGCGAGTGCACCAACTTCAAGGCAACTTTTCCCATATGGGACCCCCCCCCCCCCCCATTCCGTAAAGCCAGCCAGCCCCAATAGCAACAGAAACTGTGACAAACTTAAACTTTTCTCCACCCTCATCCCAAACTGCTTTCTTTCTACCATTCCAGAAATTTCCGCGTGGTGCACATGGGTGAGATTCTTCCCAGAGCCTGGGGACTGCAGCCTGGGCCATCTGTGGCAAGCAATGCATAATCTGATAGTTCAGAGCGAGGACACCCCAGGCTCTCAAGGCTAGACTGAAGTAGGGTTCCGTTCGGTTTGCCTGGAATCTCTCCAGTTCTGGGGGTTCCATGTTAACTTTCTGGAGCAGGACCTTGAGTCCCAAGAGCCTGGATTCGTCCAGGACGGGAAGTAGCTGGAGGCGAGGGGGGTGGCTCTCACAGGAGTGTGAGCAAAGCTTAGCACACACACGGAGGCGGCTTCTAAGGCGCCTGGGCCTCCTGTCTGAGCCCGGGACTAATGGGGACCGCGCTGCGCCCACTTACTTTTTCCTTCTCCACGAACCCCACAAAGGCCGTCCTCTCAATCTCCACGGGCTGGCCCTGTCTGTCGTAGAGAGCCAGGACGAAGTGGAAGAAGTTGGATTTCCTCAGGTTAGAAGGCGGCTGCTTCTCAAAGTGAGCCCGGGCCAGACCCACCCCGCTGCGACCAAAGACGCAGAGTTAGTAGGCTAAGCCAGACTATGTCCCTCACCCACCCACCTTGTCACCCAGGACACGCGAGCGAACCCCCCAACACCCACCTTCTCTGCTCCCAAAACATCCCCTGGGCTCCTTCCATGACCCATCAGGAGCTCAAGCGCGGCTGACGATCCGCTCAAATGCCATTCATGTCCCTGTCCTCCCCTTCCAGAGACAGCGGGTCATCAGAACTCAGAGGTGTGAAAGTTTTGTTTGGGTTTTGGGTGTGAGATGAAACGCTACAATCTTTACTCCACTTGAAGTGCGTGGAGAGGAAACGTGACCCGTGGGTGAAGCGAAAGGGGGTTAAAGAGAAAGTGCGCAGTTTACTACTTGGAAGGCCAGGGCGTGGGAATGGGCTCCAACTACGCCTCCAAATCTCGCAAGTAAGTGGGCAGGTGGAAATGCACGCAGGCATGCTAGGCTGCTCGCTGCAGTAGCTACCCCTCCAGGAAACTCCCTAGCCTCGGCCAGCTGCCGGTACCCGGCTTCAGCACGCTAATTTTCTACACAAACACAAGCAAGAGGAGAAGGGTCCCAGCTTGGGACTCGCGGCTATTAGAAATGATCGATCGCCATGGGAAAGGGAACTGGGGCGTTTTGTTTTATTGTTGTAGGTGGTGGTTGTTGTTTGGTTTAATTTTTTTTTTAAATAAAAGACCTGTCTTGCCAAAGTTTTTCCATTCTGAGAAATCATCCTCACACATTCCAGAAACCCAAAGGGCCAAGGCTTCTGGGCTGAGAAGATCCGCCTAGGACTGGAGACTGGAGCGCCTGGGGGGCACCACAATGACAGCCCAAACTACGGGATACTATGGGACAACACACACACACACACACACACACACACACACACACACACACACTTTCGCTTCCAGCCTAGTTACTCAATTCACTCTCACTACCAACCACTCCCAACCCGGTGCTCAGCGGAGATGGAAACAGTAAAGGACAGTTGTTTCTAGCCCTCCCCCCAAAATCTGAAAAGACGGAATTACTCTCCCTTCTCCTACATCCTATATGTCTAATGGGGCCTGGACCCACAAAGTTTTCTCTAAGCCCAGCTTGTGGCCAGCAATGAAAAGGACAAGGTACCATTTGTCACTTGGGACCAGGAGCCCCTGGACAGGGCACTGGGTGTGTCCAGGGAAGTTCCTCAAGTTAGCCTAGAAGAGCATGGCCTCCAAGCCACTCAGTGTAGGATCTGGAGAGTGGGAGAGGGACTGGAGGAGGCCAAGGTGACTGGGGGGATGAGGAAGGCTTTTAAGAGATGTGAGAATTAAAGTTGAGAATCACTGTTCGACAGGCAAACTGAGAAAAACTGAAGGCTCAAGCATGGAAAGAGGAGAGAGAGTAAAGAATCCAGATAGGAGAAGTCAGAGAAGACTCCAAGGAGAGAAATGGGGAGAGAGAAACAGAGGAGAGAGCCAGGTGAGGAAAGAGAAAAGAGAAAAGAAGAGTAAAACCGAGAAAAGAGGGGGGAAAAAGAGTGGCAAAGGATAAAAAAATTAAAGAAGGTAGAAAAAAGAAAGGAAAGATAGGAAAAAAAGGAAGGACTGTGAGACGGAATGGAAAGGAAGGAAGGGGGAGAGGAGAAAATTAAGTAAGAAAAGAGAAAAGAGAGAAGAAGAAAAAGGAAAAAGGAGAAAGGAAAAAGGAAAAAGGAAAAAAACTGAAATAAAGGGAAAGGGAAGCGGAGGGAAGGGGAGGAAAAGGGAAAAAATATAACTACCCAGAAAAGAAAACAAGCGGTCAGAAAAGCGCAGCTATCCAACACCGTGCTTCAGAGACGCCTCTTCTGGGTTAAAACAAAACGAAAACACTCGCAGATGGGGCTGCGGAAAGTGCCGGCAAAGCTTGGGCTCGGCTCCCTCCGGCAGCTCGCTGTTCTCTGCTGGCCACCGGCGATGAGTGCTGCGCAGCCGGGGAGCGCGGAGCCCGGGCGGCGAGCGAGCGCAGCGCAGCGGCAGACGCACTCGCGTGGCCGGGCCCCGGGTAGCCGCGCCGCCGTCTCCGGGCTCTCCCGCTAGCCGGCGGCCTCTCCTCCACGGTCCCCCAGCGGTACCCACCTCTGCGCCGCTGTGTTGGCGTCCAGCACCCCGGCGCCCTGCATCCACGTCCGCACCGCGTTCATGCCGCTGCCCAGCGGCTCTTCCTTCATACTGCTTCCACTCCGTTGGATGCTTTCCTGGATCCCAAACATGAAAACAACCTTTTCTTGTGGAAAATCTCCTCCCCTTTGAAAATATTAAAAAAAAAAAAAAGGAAAAAAAAAAGCCAACCACAGATTTTTTTTTTTTGAGTCGATGAGACTCGCGCTACATCAAGGCGGGCTGAAAAGCAAAATTTTTAAAAATGTAAACCTTCGCTCAAAACTGAGCGATAACAAGGGGGGGGGGGCGAGAAAAAAAAAGAAAGGGAAAATCCAACGAAAAGACCAAAATTAAGAAAAAAACAGAGATGTATGCTTGGCTGTTGGGGGTTGTTTGGTTGGTTGGTTTTGAGTTTGGGTGCTTTTTTTTCCTTTTTTTTTTTTTTGCTTTTTTTTTTTTTGCTTTTTTTTTTCTTTTTGTAGTAATCACAGGCCGTTGGAGAACAGGAGGGGCTGGAGTTTCCTTTTGTAGCGGTACCTTCACTTGAAGAAGCAGGAAGAAAAAAACCACCCTGATGACAATTTAAGAAACAATAGATACGACTCTTGAAGCCGGCTTGGCTACTTGAAGTGTCATTTTCCACAACCAGGCAAGTTTTTTTTCTCTCTCTCTCTTTTCCTCCTCCTCTCTCAACCAAAGATGTTTCTTTCCTTTCCGTGCGTGTAGATGAGGACGCTGGTTGCTGTAGACAGATACACCGGAGAGGGTGGGGGGAAGGGGAGAGAGAGGGAAAGAGGAAGGGGGGGAGGGAAAGAGATAGAAAAAGAGAGGAGAGGGAGAAAGAGAGGGGTGGACCCTGCTGGATGGAGATTCTGTTTTCTCCTTGCTAAAATAGAAGTGATTTGCAGGCTCTCCCTGTGGAATCCAGTTTGACTCTCCCCAGAGCTAAACACAGGCACACTAACCCCAAAGGGAAGGAGGCGGGGCCATCGCAGCCTGGACACGCCCCTTCTTTGCATAACGTCATCCTTCCGCCTTATCGCAGCCAATCGCAGCTCCCGAGCTGGATTGTTCACAGAGCCCGGCCACACTCCCTCATTAACATCCTTCTCCGGGTGGCGCAGGGGAGCCGCCAAAGTTCCCGGCAAAGTGGCAAGCCAGGGAGCTCTGAGCACCAGCGTTTAGGCTGGAAGGAGCGTGGCAATAAGGAGCAAGAGAGGGGGCAGAGGGAAGGAGATGACGGTATTCTGAACCGAGAGGGTATGCATCATGGCAGTCCCTAAGCATCCCCTCCGCGCCCTGAGAGCGACGGAGGCGTACTGATTGCGTTCTCTCAGGGCTGACGCCTAGTCCCTTGCTCGGCTGTCCTGGGACTTCGGGGGCAAACGTGGAGGAAAAAGGACTGACCAAGCAGAAAAGGCAGGATGCCCATTCCAGGTGCCCAGCTCTTCGATCTGAAGCAAGGGTGACGGGATGAAATTTGTGTGCGCGAGATTGAGACTTTGAGGGCCCTCGGAAGACACTGTCTCCGTGTCTGCAGAGGTAGAGAAGCCTAAAGCCCCCAACGAATACGGCTTTAGTAGTTCGCAAGGGACTGGACAATCTAGACTCGGTCCTCAGCAGGGCTCTGAAATGCCTCTGATTCTAGTGCTAACCCAGACACGAATGCTGTTGGGCGGGGATTCTTACTTGGTCGCTACTCTTCAGCTACATTCAGTCCCTAAGAATGAATGGGTTTCTGGGGCTGTGCCAGGATGCGTCTCTAAATATCTTCAGATCCTCAACCTCCTCTCCTGCTCCGAAAAGTAGCTTTATTTTTCTTTACCAACGCAGCAAGGATGTTGCCTTCTCTGATTCGTTGGTTATTTGGCACACAGAGTTCTTTCTGTTAAAGGGGAAGAGGGCTTGAGCCAACTTCCATCACAACCCTAGGGAGAGACTGGGAAGCAGAGAAGAGAGGTGGGGGGGAGGGAAAGGGAGAAAAGAGGAGGAAGTGGATAAAATGGAAGAATGTAAGGGGAGGAAAGGAAGGAAGGAAAAAAGAAGGAAGGAAGGAAGAGGAGGAAGAAGAGGGTAACTTGTTTCCTACCTCAAGTCTATTGGCCTTTGTGTTGTTACTGAGGAGGAAATGGGTGGAGGTTTATGGGTAATGTGTCTACTTCATTTTTTTTAAAAAAAGGTTGCAACATTAAATAAACTCATGGTAAACTGTATCATTACCCTCAGAGGACATCCTGGATGCAGACAAGGCTGCTAAGGACTCCTTGGGGACAAAATTCTTAGCCTGAAATCCAGATTCCCTTTTCTGCTGGTCTTCCTTGGTCCTTTGATTTATAAAAATGTATTGCAGACAGTGATGGAAAGGAATACATATCCCTGTTGAATGAAACAATCAAGGCCAGCAAGCATTATACTTGGTGGGTCTGTCCAAGGAGGAATGTGGAGCCCTTTTGTGATGAAAGAGTGGGCGGCGTGTATTCCAAGACTACAGGATGAATGCATGGCCACTATCTTCAGACACAACTTTATCTACGAATTATCAATCTAGCTCCCAGACTATTTATTGGGCACACAGTAGGTGCTGGGCGTGTATGTAAAAAGATGAGTCATAAGCTTGTAGACACCCGAATCTTCTCCATCTCTACAGAACTTAAATGCACAGTTGAAGCTGGGCCTATTAAACTTTTTCCAAAGCTCCAAGCTTTTGCTGATGTCCCAGATCCAGGATCCTCTTAACCTCAGGAGTACACAGCATGAGTCCCTTCCTTAAGTTCAGAGGTGATCCTTCAAGGTAGGGGCATCAGGAAGCAGGGGCTACCCTCCTGCAATGGATCCCAGGAAGTCCTAGCTTAAGACTCAGGTCTCCTTCCTTAACTGCTTGAGTCTCCAATTTTCAGAAATAAGGCCAAAACGTTGAAAGTTGTATGTAATAGGATAATGTCCCTATCTGTGATGGGAAGCACAGAGTTAAGAAAAGACCATTTGCTCGAGAAGAGAGAAATGCAGTCACATTGAGGCCTGTGGTTGACAAGAGTCACAGAGAACATAGACCTCTGGAGATCATCTACAAAGGATCCTGGTGTCAGTCAGCACATGAAACCCACTATCCCAAAAAGAGAAACTGGCACAGAGAATGATACCTTTAGCTGCCCAATTCTCTAGAAACTAACTATAAAGTAAGCAATTTCCATATCCACCCACTAAGCCAGAAGAGGAGGAGGAAGAGGAGGAGGAGGAGGAGGAGGAGGAAGAAGAAGAAGGTGGTGGTGGTAAAGAGAGGGAGGCAAGAATCTTTGGGCAGTCCTTATTCCCTTTGGCCTGACAGGCAGCCAGCACCTCACCTGGGATGGTGGGCATATTTCATTTTCAGTAAGCAGAGTGCATTTGTAGATTTTCATCTGGCCTTTTAACGTGGCTTCTACATCCAATAATAAATGTTTAAGTATAAGGAAGCTGAAAGTAAGTGGAAAAGAGATGGGGGGATAGAAAACTGACAATGACCCCCAGGATATCTCTCTCTCTCTCTCTCTCTCTCTCTCTCTCTCTCTCTCTCTCTCTCCTTCTCTCTCTCTTTTCCCAGGTCTCTTTCACAGTTGCAGGATCAGAGCCTCTAGCATGGGTACCTAGGAATCTATATTTAAAGACATTTAGAAATTCTTGCCTTCTCTCCAAACAAAGAGATAGGGAAGGAGCCACTCTAAAGGAATACGCTTCTTCTGGAATGATGTTTTCCTGTTGAACTTCTGGCAGTTTCTTCATCTGGTGGGAGGAGGTGGTGATCATGGACAGGTCAGAGGGTCCACACTGCCAGGCAAGGCTGCTCAGCTTCTGGGCTCCTCCAGTGTTAGAAGAAGTTGAGGCCAGGGCACAAGAATTCCCTCCCCCTGCGCCCTTCAAATCCAACTTCTGGCACCCAGGCCGTCCCAAATTTCTGTAAACCCAGACTCCCCCTCATGGGGCATATAAAATGACGCAATAACTTCCAGGGGCTCGGGTGGAATTATGCTCCCCTGCCTGCCCTTCTGTAAAAAGAAAGACCCCCTGAATTTAGTGGAACTGAGACCAGAAGGAATGTCCCAAGAAAAGAGGGGATGGCTTTTGCTTGTCTGCCCCCAGGAGGTAGGCTTGGGACTAGTCCTGAAGCTGTTCTACTTTTCTCTTCTTGAGGACCCCCCCACCCGGAGAGCCAACAGTCCGGGACTACCCCCTCACCTTTCTTAGCTTTCTTGCCAGAGGTAGCTGCCACCCCAGTGGGAGAATGGGCTCTTCATTCAGTGCTAGGAGGAACTGGAAGTGGGCGACAAAGCGCCAAGGCTCGAAGGCCTTCTGCGCGCTTCTGGGGAGTCGCGGGGCCACTAGACGTCTGAGACGTGTGACTGGGACCGGCGAAGCCAAATCACTATCAGGGGAACCAGGTAGAATTCTTAGCGACCTGGAGCCCTGGGAAAGCGGGGTGCAGCCAGGCAAGGGAGAGAGCGATGGGAAGATACCACGGATGCGGGTTGGAGCTACCGAGCACTGGGACCCACGAGCTCACTAAACCCTGATCTGTCCCCGGGTAGCATTCACCCACCGCTATGGGGAGCGTGGGAGCCGCAGGCCAGAACGCCACCGGAAATCCGGACTCTGATCCGGGCTTGCGACCTCGCGGCGCTCCGGAAAAGTCCCTCCTTTGCTCATCCAGTCTCGGTCCTGGGATAACCCTCCCGTTCTTGGAACCAACTAGAAAACTGAAGAAGAGAGTGACAGCCACTCACAGGAGGTAGATAACAAATAAACAATCTCTTAGGCTCTGGCGCAGAGACTGCAGTCAACTTGAGTAGGACCAGGCGCGGTGCGGTTCCACAAAACTGTCCCCTCTCGGAACGATCTGAGGCCTCTCTCGGGTTTCCCCCGGGATCGTCCCAGACAATAAATAGATCCCTGTTGTTGCTAGGTTTACTGGACATGAAATTACTCAATCTGCACCACAGCCCACTCCCATTGTACAGGTGAAGAAACGGAGGGTTTGTAAGAGAAGCGGAAGCAAATGAAAACTTGCTCCTGCCACACCTCTAATAAAGTTACCGGGACATTGTCTCCAGGGCCAGTGCTATTAACCTTGGAGTCAAACCCCCACCAAGCAGAGGCATCCACGGTCTATCCACCACCACTAGAACTCACAGGCACGCTGGGTCCTGCTTACACATAGCAGGGTGGAAAGAGAGAGAGAGGGCGCTTGTCACCGTGAGGACAAACCACACAGAGGCGAGAAGAGAGGAGTTTCAGGGAAATCTTAACGAATATGACTATTTGAAAACAAGTTTGCGCTATAATGTAAGTGGGTGCTTCTCTCCCTCTCCTCCCCACACAGGACTCCC